AAGAAAAAAAAAGCTAATATGAATAGAGAGAAATACTGTTAACTGATGGTACATGGAAGAGATTATAATCATTGTAATAAAACAGTGTACAAATGTTGAATGTAAAACTGGTGATCGGCCCTGTAAAGTTTCACTCAGCTCACAATAAAAATTAAAAACAACAACAACAACAAACAACTTTAGGGGGGAAAAAAAGGATTAACTTGAAAAACCTAAAGTAGTGCTTCTTTTCAAGCTTTATTGTGCACCCGATCACCTGAAAAGCATGTTCAGATTTCAATTCAGTAGGCCTGAATGGGGCCTGAATTCTGCATTTCTGATAGGTTCTGAGTGATGCTGAGCTGGTGATCCATGGATTACCATGCATAGTGCCTCCTTGGAAAGAATTAGCAAAGTGATTCAACAAAAAGTGGTCAGTTATCTTGAAGAGTAGTCCATATCCATCCTCCACTTTTAAAAGAAATTCTCTTAGAATTCTCACAGCCTCTTGTGCATGAAGTCTAGTGAAGACCTATCGAATGAATGAATGTAACCTATAAAGGAGCCCAGTCTTTTGAGAAGACTTCATGGTAGTTGGGGAAACACTGCTGTGATAATTGCGATTAGGAAACTGAGAACTTTGTCTGAACCTGATGGTGAAGGTAAGGTAGGTCTTAACCCCCATCTGGCCTGGGACTCGATTTTTGTTCCCCTTTGTTACCTTTCAGTTTTGGTACCAGATGCTGAAATTCCTCTAGGAAATAGGCTTCGTCCACTCCAGTTAGAGCTACTGCCCCATCGGTGCCAGATCGTGGGCCATCCCAAAGTTCTCGACTGGGATCTCTCCGAGGCACAAAGAGCACAGCTTTGTGTGATGGTAACTGCTTCCCAGGAAGACTTTGAAGAACCAGAATGCTGTCAGGCTCTTGGAATCCACACAGGTACAGGAAATTGTTGTCTTGGTGAAAGGTATAGGGGATATCGTTGCTCATATAGTAGGTAGGGTTGGACAGCAAAACCACTGTTTGGTCTGTCCCTCTCTGCCCTTGTGCTTCCTTTTGGATCAGACACATTAGCTTGTGTCTGCGAAGCGCATATTCCACCTGGGATAGTCCTGGTGTCACCTCCCCTAGAAATAACAAATAACAATGATGCTTTGCTTTTTAAAGTACCATAAACACTGAAAATAGCTCAACATTAGGTAAAGACACCTAACTTTTCAGTTCTTCCATTGATTTTGAATTTCCTTATAGCTTCTGAGAGGTAACTAAGTTTTCAAATTGCAAAAATTTGGGAAAAATAATGGTTACACATGGTTGTAATCCCCTCCATGTACCAACAGTTAACGGCATTTACCTCTATTTGCTTTAACCACTGTGTTCCTCCCTGTGCCTCCATGGTGGGGATTTTAACTATGTAATGAAAAAAAGTATATGGTTTGTTGAATGTAAAACTGATGATTTGTTCTGTGAACCTTCATTCAATTCACAATACAAAGTTTAAAAATATAAAAATAAACTTTTTTTACTTCAGTTGCTAAGTTTCAGAATAATTTGTTAGACAGTAAGGTATCTAATAAGGAGCTCTGGTAGCGTAATGGTTACAAATTGGGCTGCTAATCTCACGGTCAGCAGTTCGAAACTACCAGCTGTTCAGCGGGAGAAAGATGAGGCTTTCTGCTCCCATAAAGATTTACAGCCTCAGAAACCCTGTACAGGGTCGCTATGAGTCGGAACCAACTCCACAGCACATAACAACAACAACAACAAGAAGCTATCTAATAAACTATCAATTTACAGAGGGAGCCACTGAGGCACAGAGATCAAGTACCTTGCCCATGGTCATATAGCTAGGAAGTGGCAGAGCTGGGATCTGAGGTTCAGGCAGTCTAGATCTAACCCTGTGATTTTAACCATTATTACTCTACTGCCACCCTAAAAAGTATGTAAAGCCCTTATTGTTTATAACATCCAGCTGTTGCCTAAGTGATGTGGCAATGCAATTAATCCTTACAGTAACATTTATCCAGGTTAAGTGACTTGCCTTAGACTATACAGGTAGTAATTAGATAAGTACCAATAACATCTAACATACTGATATGATTTAAGATTCACTTTCAAAAGACTTATAATGATCACAATGAAAAACTGTATCATCTTAATCTCAATTTTATAAAAACTTAGAATACACAAAAATAAGAAAAAAATCCCAGAGATACACAGTACACCAAAATATTAAAAATCTATTTTTGAAATGATAAGATTGTTGATGAGTTCTATTTTCTTATCTCTTACTATTTTCCAAGTTTTCTATAAGAATGTACTACTTTTATAAGAGGTGTATTATGGACAGGCAACTAAATAAACTAAGAAAGTAATAACCATCTATGAATTCTTAGGTTGCTTTTTTAAGAATTTAAGTTTCAATGCAGAATATATCATATGCATACGACTCCAGGTGTGGAGCTATAGGATCAGCAGTGGACTGCGAACCACAAGGTCAGCAGTTCAAACCCACCAGCTTGTCCTTGGAAACCATATTATATAGTGTTGCTATGAGTCAGAGGAGTCCTGGTCTGGCATTGCGGGTCAATGCACTGGACAGAAAATTCGGTCTGAACCACAAGGTAGGCAGTTCAAGCTCACCAGTTGCTCCTGGGTAACAATACACAGGCTCACTATGAGTCAGAACCAACTCAATGGCACTTAACAACATGAGCTGGGTACTCCTGGTGTGGTGCTGTATGATCAACACTGGCTGTGTACCACAAGGTCAGCAGTTCAAACCCACTAGCTGTTCCTCAGAAGCCTATTCAGGGTTGCTATGAGTTGAACCAACTCCACGGCACTTAACAACAATACCATCACATAAGAGTATACATATTTATCTATAATTTAAAGAATCAAACAAAACATACCCTACCTATAGCTCAGTTCCAGGTTGATCAGTATACCTGTAAACTGCCTCCATTCATTTTTAAAGTCTTGAAGAGCAAAGATGTCAGTTTGAGGACTAAGGTACGCCTGACACAAACCATGGTATTTTCAATAACCTCATATGCATGTGAAAGCTGGACAGTGAATAAGAAAGACCACAGAAGAATTGATACATTGAGTTATGGTGCTGGAGGAGAATACTGAAAGTGCCATGGACTGCCAAAAGAACCAACAGATCTGTGTTGAAAGAAGTACAGCTAGAGTGCTCTTTGGAAACCAGGATGGCCAAACATTATCTCTCATACTTTGGACATATTGTTAGGAGGGGCAAGTCACTGGAGATGAATATCATGTTTAGTACGGTGAAAGGTCAGAGAAAAAGAGGAAGACCCCCACAGAGAGATGGACTGGCACAATGGCAGCATCAATGGGCTCAAACGTAACAACGATTGTGAGGTTGTCCCGGGGCCAGGCAGTGTTTCATTCTGTTGTGCACAGGGTTACTGTGAGTAAGTACCAACTTGATGGCACCCAACTAGCATTTAACCACCATTTTCATTAATAACATGATATATATTCATCAGAGAGTAAAAGACAAAAACATCTTATTTCTTTGAAAATCTAAGCAGGATTAAAATACTATCCTTTACAATCTTCAAAGCGTTCCTCTCTTGCTGAATCTAATCTTATACAAATGACTATATGAGAAATATTTCAAAACACTCTGTTTTCTAGCCAACTAACTAGCAATACTAGGATCACTGACTAAATGCTTCCAAACTTCTGAAATCTCAAAGTGGCAACGAATTTTCAGACATGACAGAAAATTATCCAAGGCAAAAAATTCCTTTTCATATGCAGGAAGAGAAAAAAAAAGTGTGATAAAACAATGACCTGTAACCCGAGAGGTGTACTTGTCAGTTACTGTGGCCTTTGGTCACAGAAGTAACCATTAAAGCCAATCTGGCCTGATTTCCTTCTGATGAAAAGAAGGAATGTTCTTTAAATGAGCTTCCCCCTAGCTTTTTCGAACTGTAAAGTGTTACGAACAAAGTCAATATTTTGTCACATGGACTCAATTAAGGAGGAAGAGGTTATTCTAAGAAGCTTACTGAACCAATCAGAAAACTGTCAGAGTTGGACTCTGCAAACCACAGACAAAGTCTCACAATCAATGCTGAAGCCATGAAGGAAAAAAGCTCTTCAGGACACTAACATCCAGCCTCTCAATAGAACAAGGAAAATGCTCTTCATAGTTTATCAGCTAAGCAAAAAACCCTGATGTTGCACTACAGGGTCAGCATTGCATTGCGAACACAGGGCGGCAGTTCAAACCTGTCAGGGTCACTAAGAGTCAGAACCGACTCGACGGTACTAACAGTACAACAGCATACAGAAAATCCAGAGAAGATTTTACAAAGTCTGACAATGGATGGAATGATACAGGCCTTTGCTATAATCCAGGTATGCAGTTCAATTATTTCCCCAAAGTAACCAGATGAGGATTTTAGCATGGTCAGTCTTTAAAAATGATCCTATTTAATATTATTGTTGTTAGGTGCCATGGAGTTGGTACCGACTCATAGAGACCTTACACAGCAGAATGAAACACTGCCCGATCCTGGGCCAACCTCACTACTGTTGCCACACTTGAGTCCATCGATGCAGCCACTTGGTCAATCCATCTTGTTGGGGGTCTTCCTCTTTTTTTCTGACCCTCCACCTTACCAAACATGATATCCTTCTCCAGTGACTGCTCCCTCCTGACAACATGTCTGAAGTATAAGAGACAAAGTTTGGCCATCTTGGCCTCCAAGGAGCTCTCTGGCTGCACTTCTTCCAAAACGGATCTATTGGTTCTTTTGGCAGCCATGGCACTTTCAATATTCTCCTCCAACATCATAACTCAAAAGCACCAATTCTTCTACGGTCTTCCTTATTCAGTATCAGGTAGGTAGTTTTTAAGAACTCCTGGTGTGGTGTAAATGGAGGATGCCTACCATATACTCGGAGGCTTTGTGAGACCTTGTCGAGCGGCAGGTGTGCCAGGCTGCCCTGCACATACAGCAAAGGTGCTTATGCCTCCAATTTTCTTCATAATGAGCAGAGCCTACGCTACTCATTCTGGTTTTTCCATTTTAGTGGGGTTTGTTTGAATGCTTGTGTGGGCCTTCATTTCATTAACTCCCAGACCCAGGGGCACATTACCCAGTAAGCACAGGCTTACTTGTGCTTATTTACAAATCTGTAGTGGCCAATTTCATATGAGTTTACTTCCAGGGCCTGGCTAGAGGGAGGGTGCAGTGGTGTGGGAGGCTACCTAGGGCCTACAGTGCAGTGGTCAGCAGTGACACAGTCAGCAGAAACAAAGCCAGCGGTCAGCTTTCACCTAGCTCATGCTGCCCGCCGCTGCCAGCACCACCACCTATGGCTGCTGCTTTGCACCTTGGCAATCGTTACTACCAGACATACTTAATACTCAGTACAGTCAGAGATACTGTTTTTACTATTATAGAAAATGTGAATGCTAGATAACAGGAAGAGTCTAAGTGAGGAGTAGGTGTAGTTCATAAAGTGATTCATTACAGATGTGCACCTTTAATACTCAGAAGTTAGACTTTTTACTATTGTCATAAATATGAATGACAGATGACAAGATACCCAGTCAGTGAGGAGTAGGTATAGTGTATAAAGTGATCTATTACTAGACAACTGGAGAATGGGGGGAGAGAATCAAGTAAACAAATATTTGCTTTATAAAGTAATGTTACTGTTGTTAAGTGCCAATGAGTAGATTCCAACTCATAGCAACCCTGTTTATAGGTACTGGGGCTATAAATCTTTACAGGGTCAGAAAGCCTCTTCTTTCTTCCACGGAGCGGCTGGTGGGTTTGGACCGCTGACATTGTGGCTGGCAGTTCAGTGTTTATCCTACAGAGCCACCAGTGCTCCAAAGTAAAGTTGCTAATGTCCTTAAGTGCCATCCAGTCAGTTCTGACTCATAGCAACCCTGCACAGGGCTTCCAAGGAGTGGCTGGTGAGTCTAAACTGCTGACCTTGTGGTTCAAACCAATGTTGCGATCCAGTACTTATATTACAGGGCCTCACCAGGAAATGACCAAATAACAAAAATACTCTGAGTGGATTTTATTTATATATGCTGAGCAAAACGAGTCACAGAGAGGGTTATGCTGTATGATTCCATTTATATGATGCTCAAGAACAGGAAGAGCAGTCTATGGTATCATGGATATGTGGATTGGCTGGAGAGGTATGAGGATTCTTTCTGGAGTGATGGAAAGGTCCTGTATGTTAATTGAAATGTGTGTTATACTGACAATGTATGCCCTTTTTCAAAATGCAGTGAGTTGCACATTTAAGATCTGTGCATATCATTGCATGTTAAGTTTACCTCTTAAAATAAATTCTTTTATAAAGCATGAAATAATTTTAACATGAAATAATTTTAAACATGAAATAATTTCATTACTGACTTATCTCAGTTGAATTTCTTAATAGTCAATGAAGAGAGATTTTTTCTGAATCGGCTCCGAATGCCACTTGCCTTCCTATATGGAATAACTTCTTTAATTTCTGGGTGACAACTAAAGGGCATACCAGTGATTAAAGAGCTGAATTGACATTTTCTGTTTCTACAGACACTGGGATGGCAGTTATAAAATGTAAACATGGTCTATAATGCTCAGACTTAAGGAAATGATAAGTTTGGAAAGTCACTGAGTATCTGTCAAAGTCACTGTCTCTACAGCAGCAACAGGCAGAAGAAAATTCCTTTATCTCTTATATCATTCTATGGAATATGTGTCAGGAAACTAGGGTAGGAAAGGCAAAGAGAAATCCAGGGGAAACAGCATCTGAAAATCCAGCAATTTCACTGATACAAACTGCCTAGGTACACAGACTGTCCTCCTGACAGTATGATTATTAGGTTCAAGGGGTCAAGTCTGGAAAGTACAGCTCACCAGGTACAAACACCTCAAGAGAAATCAATCATTTTCAAAGCTGGTCAAATTTAATGATCAATGTTCCTTTTTTTCTTTTCTTTTTTTTAAATTGAGGGTACAGGTAGGTTGACAAGGTAGGGAAAGATTTAAATAATACCAACTTGACTGCTGTTCATCTTACCTTACAGCTTTGAAAAACTCTGATTTCTTGTGTGTTTCAGTGGTGAGCTGCATTTCCTGAGTCGCAGCTTTCCCAGCAGGATTTCCCGTCTGATGGAGAATCACCAAAAGGAAGCCCTCACTGAGACACACTGGTATCCTTCACTGAGTAGAGATAGTGAAAGAGTAACGTATTTCTAACGGCATTTTACATTGCTTTGTTTGTTTTAAAATAATATTTTATTGAGTTTCTGGTGAAAGTTAGGTTCCCCCACTAGACAATTTCTACACAAGTTGTTTAGTGACCTTATTTACACATTTCACAATGTCAACATTCTCTTTAATTGTGTTATTTGTTCCCTTTCCAGTACGCTAGAGCTTCCCTGGCCCCTAATCGTCTCATATGGGATTTGAGTAACTGTTGCCTTTGGGTCTCATACTGATGATTTTTGAGTACGGAACTTATCTGACATGTGGCATTCTGCAATTTCGATAAAAGGTCTCAGGGGTAGGCTTGGCTACATTGTTGTTTTAATGCATATGCTCAGGTAATGAATATAGTTGGTCCTCTGTACCTGCAGGTTCTGCATCCACAGATTCAACCAACTGTGGATTGAAAATATTCAGGGGGAGAACGGCAATCATGTGGTCAAAGTGATTCCTCAAAAGCTGAGAGGGAATGCAAAGTGCTATCTACATTGTTCTTGGAGTCCCAGAGCAGCGCTGCAGGTTAATGCACTGTACTACAAGGTCAGTATGAACCACAAGGTCGGCAGTTCAAGCTCACCAGCTGCTCCTCGGAAACCCTATACGAGGTTACTACGGGTCAAAACAGACTCAAGGCACTTAACAACAACAACACCACTGTTATCAGGTGTTATAAGTAATCTAGGTGATTTAAAGTAAAGGGGAGGATATGCATAGGTTATATGCAAATACAACCACATTTTATATAAGGGACCTGAGCATCTGTGGATTTTGCTGTCAGCAGGGGTGGGGTGAGGGGAAGTAGAGAGGGTGTTCCCAGAGATACCAGATTTAACTCCCCCTAGCTGAAGCACAATAACTGAGTTTTCTAGAAAATTTGATGATATTCATCCCCTAAAGCACAATCCTTGAAAGCTCTTATTTTTGTTTTTTAACCTTTAGGTCTGAATATGCGCAATGAGGATGCTATACCCTCTAGCAGCAACACTGGGATCTCCATAGCAGAAAAAACAAACAACCCAGGGACACAAACCTTTAGCATGTTTTTGTATCACCTTTATCAATTAGTATGCCACCTCTCAAAGCTGTGATAATCACACATGGAAAGTTTGTATAATCTACATAGAAATTTTTGTTACAAACAATTTTGAAGTGAGCATTTTCAACACTTTCAAGAAAAACATATTTTACAATACTTAACAGAATATTTTACAAGGACTCACTATTTAGAACACCGGAAGACACAGCTCTATAAACTGTCTTAAAAGCAACAAAACTTTTCTTAAAAGTACCCTGAAATACTTAGTTTTTACTAATCATTATTCTGAATTGTAAGGTTTATTGTATTGTATTATAGACTTGTTGTTGTTATTAAGTGCCTTCAAGCCAGTTTCAACTCACAGCAACCCTGTATAAGGTTTCTACGGAGCAACTGGTGGGTTTAAAGCCCTGACCTTGTGGTTAGCAGTCCAGTGTCACACTGTTCTAGACTAGCATTGTCCAATATAGTACCACTGGCTACATGTAGTTAGTTAAGTTTCCACTGAAAATAAAAAAAATTTAAGTTTTTCCGTTGCACTAAAAACATTCTAAGTGTTCATGAGGCTGGTGGTTTCTGAGGCTGGACATATTTACAGGAGCAGAAAGTCTCATCTTTCTCTCACGAGTGGCTGGTAGAGTTGAACTACTGACCTGTGGTTAGCAGCCTAACTTGTAACCCACCATGCTACCAGGGCTCCTTCACATGTGGCTTCCTGCTGTTGTTGTTGTTAAGTGCTGTTGAGTCAGTTCCGACTCACAGCTACTCTGTACATCTGGTGGGTTTTAACTGCCGATCTGTGGTTCGAAGTCCAGTGCTGATACTACAGCGTCATACCAGGGCTGTACCATTATGGACAGCACAAATCTACATTTCCTCCACTACATGGTTCTAGGTAAAGCACCTAAGTAAGGAGACAGTTAGGGTTAAAAGCTATTACCTGGTCTGAGGAGGTGAGGGTGTGTAAGGGGGCTGGGCTGGCCCAAGTATCGGTTTGGAATCTTCCTCTTGGGGAGGGGATGAAGGGAGTACTTCCGCTGGGAGCATGACAGGCAACCTGAAGGAAGAATAAAGACGATGAAATGGAACAATGAATCTAGACAGTCTTCATAGTAGACATACATCACATCTATCACCAGAAGTTTGGATGCTTTGTGATTGTTGTAAAGTGCTGTTGAGTTGCCTCTGACTCATAGTGACCCTGTATGTGGTTTCGAGAAATGGCTGGTGGGTTTGACCTGGCAACTTTGTGATTAGCAATCCAGTGCTTATCTGACACAGTCACAATAGGTGGGTTAGGTTAATGTAAATGAACATTTCTTGCCTTCTCTCCTTCAGTATTTATGGGGCCAAGATGGTACAAATGGTAAACAGTCACTAACCAAAAGGTTGGTAGTTTGAATTCACCTAATAACACCTATGGAGCTCTGGTAGTGTAGTGGTTATGAAACGGGCTGTGAACCACAAGGTCAGCAGTTCGAAACTACCAGCTGCTCCGCGGGAGAAAGATGAGGCGTTCTGCTCCCGTAAAGATTTACAGGGTCGCTACGGGTCAGAACCGACTCGACAGCCCTTAACAACCATAACAGCAATAACACCTATGACACCTTGGAGACAGGCCTGGTAATGTACTTCCAAAAGATTGTTGTTGTTAAGTGCTGTGGAGTCAGTTATGACTCACAGCAACCCTGTATAGGGTTTCTAAGGAGCAGCTGATGAGTTTGAACTGCCAACCTTGTGATTCAAACAGACCTTGAGGTCCAGTGCTTTACCCTACTATTAAAACCCTCGGAAGCACGTGGGGTTGCCATGAGTCCAAATCAACTTGATGGCAACTGGTTTGGATTTGGTTTTTGCATTGTGCCAGCGTCTGTATCGGACCCTTTCCTTTAATCAGCTGTACTATAAAGAGGTACATGTATGTTGTTCTTGTTGTTAAGTGACACTGAGTTGGTTCCAGCCCATAGTGACCCTGTATAGAGTTTCTGAAGAGTGGCTATTAAACTTGAACTGCCGACCTTGTGGCTCAAAATGACCTCACAGTCCCTTTATCTATATTCAAGCAAACAACTTTTATTCTATTCTGTTACAGGGTCACTGCTCATCCGTCAGTTTGTCGTACTGTGGTGACTTACATTTGCTGTGATGCTCGAAGCTCTGCCATTGGCACTTCAAATAACAACAGGGTCACCTATGGTGGACAGGTTTCAGCTGAGCTTCCAGAAGAAGACACACCAGGAAGAGGCTGAAGAGGACTACTTCTGAATGTTTAGCTCATGAAAACCTCATTTATTAATAGCAGTGGGACACTGCCAGATAGGATAGCACCAGACTACTGTCAGATACAGTAATGTCAGGTATAGTGCCGGAAGATAAGCCCCTCAGCTTGGAAGGCATTCAAAATACGACTGGAGAAGAGTTGCCTCCTCCTCAAAGTAGAGTTGAATGTGATGACGCAAACGGACTAAAGCTTTTAGGACCTTCATTTGTTGATAGGGTAACAACTCAAAATGAGTAGAAACAGGTGTAAATATACATTAATAGTCAGAACATGGAATGTACTTAGTATGGATCTAGAAAATTAGAAATTGTCAAAAATGAAATGGAATGCAAAAAGACAGCATACTAGACATTAGTGAAGTCCTGGTATGGTGCTGTGGGCTAATGCGTCAGACTGCAAAGTCGTTTGAACTGCAAGGCTGGTGGCTCAAGCTCACCAGCTTCTCCTTAGAAACCCTAATAACAGGGTCGCTATGAGTCAGAATCGACTCCACAGCACTTACCAACAACAACAAGTGAGCTGGTAAGTACTGGTATTGGCCATTTTGAATCTGACAATCATATTGTTTACTATGCCGGAATGACAAGTTGGAGGAATGGCTTTGTGATTTATCATCACAAACAACATTTCAAGATTTATCTTGAAATAAAATGCTGTCTGTGATAGGATAATATGCATATGCCTACAAGGAAGGTATTAATACCAGTTACCAGTTAATACCAATTAACACAAGATAATACCACTATCATTTAAATTTACACACCAACCACTAAAGTCAGTGATGATAAAACTGAAGAACTCTACCAACTTCTTCAGTCTGAAATTGATCAATCATGCAATCAAGTTGTACTAATTATCACTGATGACTTGAATTAAAAGGTTGGAAACCAAGAAGGACAAGTAGTTGAAAAATATGGTCTTCGTGATAGAAACGATAGAGGACACATGCTAGAATTTTGCAAGATCAATAACTTCTTCATTGCAAATACTTTTAAACAACATAAAAGACAATTATACACATGTTCCTCCCCAGATGGAATACACAGAAATTAAATTGACTACATCTGTGGGAAGAGAGAGTGGGGAAAGCTAGCTACGTATCCGATAAAACAAGGCCAGGGGCAGGCTGTGGAACAGACCACCAATTGCTCCTACGCAAGTTCAAGCTAAAGATGATGAAAATTAAAACAAGTCCACAAGGACTACTACAATAATCTGCCTGTCTTGGAACTTGTCTCTCCTCGTCCATTTATCTTCTACAGACTATACTATTTTCAGAAGATCCCTCTGGGCCCGTGTCTAAAAGTTTTCACAGGTGTCATCATTCCCCAATCAAGTTCAAATGCCAGGATCTGTCCTATCTTTTCAGCCTCCCACAGTGACACTATATGCTTTTCTTTAGAATAAGCTTCAAATGCTTATTAGAATAGCTCAATGGCACCCTTCATGGACTGGCCCCTGCTCACTCCTCTAGACTAATCCTCAAGAAGTATGATTGCAGCCACACTGAACTAATCAATGAGACCCGGAGAATCATTCTGTGTCTTAATGGTATACTTTCAAAGTGCAGCTTTCCTGGTTTACAATGACTTGGCCTAGTTCATTACTCAAGTCCTTGCAAATCAATTCAAATATCACTGAAGTTTTGTTGTTGTTAAGTGCCACTGAGTCGGTCACGACTCATAGCGATCCTGTATAGGGTTTCCAAGGAGTAGTTGGTAAGCTTGAACCACTGACCATGCAGTTCAAACCTTGCAGTCCAGTGCATTAACCCACAGCACAGCACCAGGATTTCATCAACTTAAGCTAGGCAGTCATATTTTTACACACCCCCAGTCCTCCCCGCCCCGCTTCTGACACAGATGCCTCCTCTCCTCAGCTCTCCACTGTTTATGTCTACTTTAATCCTACTCCACTGACTATAGAAGCGTTGGTGGGCTGCCAACTGCAAGATTGGCAGTTCAATCCCACCAATCACTCCAAGGGAGAAAGATGAGGCTGTCTGCTCCCTTAAAGATTTATAGTTTCAGAAACCGTATGCAGAGTTACCATGAGTCACAATCAACTTGATGGCAATAGGTCCAGTTTTTGGCTTTCCCTGCATCTAAGGAGGCCTGGTGGCCCTGCTACACTTTGGGCTGCTAACTGCAATGTTACTCCATGGGAGAAAGAGGCGGCTATCTGCTCCCATAAGCAGATAACCTAAATAGGATCGCTGAGTAAAAATACACTGCACGACAGTGGGTTTGTTTGGGGTTCTCACTGTACCTAGTTTCTAATTAGTTATGCTGGAAGGTAGGAGTCATTTGACATTTCACAGTAAATGGATTTGGGATATCGTTTGAAACAAAAGCTACCTTTTTGATTGGAGGCGAGCAATAAGGAAGGAGAAGAATTAAGGAAGACTCCTGATGTGGCACTGCAGGGTAAGCATTCAACCGCAAGGCTGGGATGAACCTCAAGGTCAGCAGTTCAAATCCACAAGCTGCACCTCAGAAATCCTACGTAGCATCACTATGAATCAGAAGTGACTTGACAGCACTTAATCACCACCCCCCAGGCTTTTTTGTCCTGAACAAAGTGGATGGATGGTGATACCATTAAATAAAATGAGGGAACTGAGATACGCATCATACCAATGGAGCGATTAGAGTCCCTCTGAAGAGTCAGAGAGACGAGTTAAGGTGTCCTAAGCAGCACACAGACGGTATTTAAAGATCTGATGCCGGACACTGTCTAGGAGACTGTGCAGATAGAGCCCAACTACCAACACATATCAGGGTGAGAAGACGAGCATGGTATTTGGGACGTTAAAGAAGCAAAAGTGCTTTAAAGGGAAGTACTTCATGTAATTAAGTATGAGGAGGCCAAAAGGACTACCGGTTTTAGCAAGAGGAATCACTGGCGATTATAAAGGAATTCCTAGGTAGCACAGCTGGTTAAGGGCTCAGCTGCAAACTGAAAGGCTGGCGCTCACACCACCCAGATGTACCTGGAAAAAAAGGCCTGCTGATCTACTCCTCACTCCCCCAAAGCAGCCACTGAAACCCTTACAGAGGAGTTCTACTCTGACACACATGGAGTTGCCGTGAGGGGGTTACAACTTCACAGCAACTGGTTTGGAGTGTTGAGAGTCAGTTCTGGGGCAGCACAGCTAAGCACTGGACTACCAACAAAAAGGTTGGCAGTTTGAACCCAGGAGCCTATGAAAAGATTTATTTCTAAAAGGTCACTGAGTTGAAAACCCTATGGGGTGTACTTCTACTCTGGAACACATAGGGATGCTGAAGTCAGAATTGACTCAGTAACTGGTTTGGTTGGGTTTAACACCCTAATAAAAACTCGTACAGAAGATAGAAACCAGATGAGAATGGGCCGAAGAGTGGGTGCAAGGAAGAACAGAAATGAGCAGAGACAACACTTGATGAAGTTTTGTAGTTAAAGAGATCCAAGAAAATGGCCTGACAGCAAGAAAGGGGTGAGGAATCACAGAGGACAGAAAAAAAGACACAAAAACCAGTCCTCCTGTTAACACTTCTAAGACTAATATTAAAGTGATTTCTTTCAAAGTGCTTTTTCCCAGTTAGGTGAGTTCTTTGGGAGCAGACTTTCCTTTTTCTAACTCCTCTCTGTGTCATGGGTTAGTTCTCAATGCATGTCTGTGGATCGTAGAACCTAGGACAGGCCTAAGATCAGGTATTTGGTAGAACAGATGTGGAATCAGACAGACTCATATTAAAATATCGGGTGTTTTTTTTTTCCCACTAACAAGCTATGTAAGCAAGCAATTACGCAAATTAGTTTTTTGTCTCTTTTATTGGGAAACATTTTACTGCTGTTTGGGTGAAAGTTCAAGCAAGTTAGTTTCCCGTCTAACAATTTATACACATTTTGTTTTGTGACATGAGCTGCAATCCCTTCAATGGAATAGCACTCTTCCCCCTTCTTCCTGGGTTTCCATTTCCATTTGTCCATCTATCCTGCACCTTCCTGCCTTCTGAACTTTGTTTTTCGGGCAAATGATACCCTTTTGGTCTCCCACGATAGGCCTGTCTATTATCTGCTGAAAGGTGATCTCAGGAAGTGGGTTTAGTTCCATAGTTCCATATTTGAAGGGTGTGTAAGGGCCATAGTCTCAGATCAGTTAAGTTCGGTCTGTTTCATGATTTTAAATTGTATTCTACATTTTCCTCCCACACTGTCCGTCTTCTATTGTGATCCAATCAGAGGTAGTGGTAGCTAGGCACCACCTGGTCTCAGAACCTCAGTTTCTTATGGGTATAAATATTTCTTTTGATGGAATGCAGTAAGTCATTTAGTACAATGTCTCCCACTAAGAGGGTACTCAAATAATATTCAATATTAGTGCTGTGATTATTTCATGGCAGTTATAAATATTCCAAAACCTACCGCAATCAAGTCGATTCTGACTCACAGTGACCCTACAGGGTACACAGAACTGCCCCAGAGGGTTTCCATGACCGTCTAATAGTTACAGAAGCAGACTGCCTCATCTGCCTCCCACAGAGCACCTGGTGGGTTTAAACTGCCAATCTTCTAGTTAGCAACCAAGCTGCGTTACGTACTGCACCACCAGGGTTCCTTTTTCAGGTGCACATCACACATATGCTGAAGATTAAGTGAAATTCACTGAGTTTTAAGAATTTCACTACGTAAACTACAGTGGTAAATTTAGGTAAGCAAAGGTACCATCATCTCAAACTACACAACACACATAACATGCAGAAAGCTTGCACATTGGACTACTTCCTCCAGGAAGGCTTCTCTGAATTCCCAGTTCTAATTTAGACGTCTCTCATGTGATTCGTTTGCACTCCTCCACAGTTCCCCTCTTACAGTTTGAACATTGTTATAATTGTTTTATTTGTATCTCCTCCTAAACTGTAACAATAGCCTGAATACTTTTTACCAATTCTTCATTTAAATATGTAGTTCATTCATTCTTCACGTTTTCCCCAACCAACATGAAAGTAAGTTACCAAAGCCCAGTAACCTAGAGGTCATATGATGCAAGGGGTATGCTGTGGCCATCCACAACAGGTCCCATGGTTTTATGAGGCACAGAGACTTCTGGGAAATAGAGGGGAAATAGTCCAGGAGGTTCCGATTGCTTGGGTATGACTCTGAACCAGCTCCATTTGGAAGATTGAGTCCCTCTCTTAACCCCAGAGTGACACCACAATGCAGCCTTCACTGACATAAGCATGTAACCCTGCTTAGCACATAATCAGTAGCCCACCGTCTCCTAGCAGAGGCCTGTGGCAATCACCTTATCTTTAATGCACACAGTGACTAGTTGCAGTTACTGCCTCTACCACCACCATCAGCAGCAGAGCCTGAACTGAGAGGAAACCAGACCTCACCACCCAGAGCACCCCTTCCCAATAATATGTTAAACCATGGTGGATTACTATGAAGTTCTAGGAGTACACAGACATGCTTCATCTGAGGACATTAAAAAGGCTTATCACAAGGTGGCACTTCAATGGCATCCTGATAAAAATCTAGAAAATAAAGAAGAAGCTGAGAGACGATTTAAAGAAGTAGCTGCGGCATATGAAGTGTTATCCAATGATGAAAAACGGGACATTTATGATAAATATGGCAAAGACGGATTAAATGATGGAAGTAGAAATCACTTTGATGATCCTCATGAGAATGGCTTCAGATTCCGTAAGCCTAATGATGTCTTTAAAGAGTTTTTTAGTCAAAGGGACCCATTTTCATTTGCCTACTTTGAAGACTCACTTAAGGACCTTATAAATAGCCCAAAACATTCGTATGGAGGCAGAAGTCGAGGTGCAGGATCCCTCTTCTCTACCCTCAGTGAATACCCAACTTTTGAGAGCAGCTTTTTTTCCTATGATAGAGACTATACACCCGATAGTTCACTGGGGCATGAAGGCCTCACCTCATTCTCTCCCATGGCATATGAAGATGATAGGATGGGCAACTACACATCTGTCACAACTCCGAGAGAGAACTGCAGAAATCTCCACACAAAGAGAGTAATTGAGAATGACCAAGAAAGAGAAGAAGTTGAAGATGACGAGGAGCTGAAGTCCTTCCTGACAAATGCTTCGGCAGATGGCGAGAGCTTGGCAGAAGAATGCAGTTGGGGAAGAGAGTCATTCAGCATCTATTCATCAAATTCCTACAGTCCCAAATATGTACCTCAGTATACTTTTAAGGGCAATGAAGAGCAAGGTGTACCTTGGGTCACCAGTAGCTGGGATCCTTCCATTTTCTCAGCAGGATTCAAAGAAGGTGGTAAGAGAAAAAAAAAGAAGCGTAAAGAGGTAAAAAAGAAGTCAACCAAAAGGAAAAGCTAAACTGACTCTTCAGACACATTATGTTCATATAACATTTGAACACAACTCTTGTGTGTTTTGGTTAATTGAGAGTTTGTAGGTAACATTCAATGTTAGATTAAGAATCTATGTTTAACACTGGTAGTAGGATTGTGGACATTTAGACAGTAGTTACTTGGATTGGGTAAGTCAGAAAAAGATGAGTTTGTGGCAAAAATTGGCGATGTTACAAATCTGGAAAACAGTTTTTTTTTTAAACTTAGGTTTTGAGCTAAATATTTGGGTATCAGATGTTCTCTATAGTAGAGTTTAAGATCTACTTTTTTTTTTTAACTAATGAAATCCCTTTACAAACTTGTAAATTATCTACACCATTAAAACAAAGCAGAAAAACTGCCACCAAGTTGATTCTGACTCACCAAGACCCTATGTATGTATACAGGGTTTCTAAGACTGCAAAGTTTTATGGCAACAAACAGCCTCGCCTCATCTTTACCCCACAGAGTGGCTGGTGGGTTTGAAGCACCAGCCTTCCAGTTAGCAGCCCAACACCTAACCAACAGTCCAGTGTTGTTAAGTACTGTCACGTTGGTTCCGACTCACAGCAATCCTGTATAGGGTTTCCAAGGAGTGGCTGGTGGGTTTGAACTGCCAACCTTGTAATGAGGAATCTAGTACTTATCCTGCCGTTCAGCATGAAGACTCCACTGTTGCTGCTGTTGTTACGTCACCAACTTGGTTCCAATTCACAGCAACCCTATATAGGGTTTCCAAGATAGGCTGCTGGGTTTGAACTGTCCACCTTGTGGTTAGCAGTCCAGTGCTTATCCTGTAAGCACCACACCAGGACATTCACACAAGCCCAGACTGTACTGTCACTCATGGAATGAGTTTTCTCTTAATGGAGGCAGAGCATTTGACATATAACTTAAAGACACTATAAATATTAAAATGTGAAGGATCTCCTTTTCATTAAAAGCAGCCAAACTTGAATTTCCCAGAGAATTCTGACTATAAGCACATGTAGCAGGTCAAAGTAAATCACTCCAGATGGGAAACTCGCTATGCTCTACAAACACAACACTTTTAAAAAAAAGCATCTTCAGCCATTCTAATTTAGATCATGTTGGGAAAAAAACAGATGAGTTACATACAAATCAGATATTGAGCAAGTGGTTTAAGTGTTTACATGAATTGTGTCTTAATCTAAATTACTCTTATTGCAATACAACTGTGCTTGAGCTGCCTGCAAATTTCATTTTCAATATTGCTTCAAAAACCTTTTGTTCTTATTCATTCTTCCATTCATTCTACAAATATTTTTAGAGAAGCTATTATTTTCTAAGCAGTGCTCCTGGCTCTTGGATACAGAAATGAATAAATTACGAAACTCTTAGTCCTCCAGAACTTAGAAAATAGAAAGAATAAGCATATCTATTATGTAAACTATAGTCTGCTATAAGTGCTCAAGAGAAAAATGAAGCAGGGGATATGAAGTCTTGGGGTGAGAGGGCTGAAATTCTACCTAAGGTAACAAGGGAAATGATGGTTACATTTGAGTAACAGTCTAAAGAAAGTGCAGAAGATATCTGATGGAAAAGAAGTGCAAGGTCCCTCAACTGGCAAGGTGTGTTTGAGGAATACTGTGGAGACCAGTGGGACAGATTGAGTGAGTCAGAGATGACATCAGAGAGGTCATAGAAGGTCCGTCTATGCAGGAACTGAGAGATCACAACATGAAGTCTGGCTGCTGAATTTCGGTTCTGAGTAGGATAGCACACCACTGGAGGTTTTGAACAAAGGAGTGAAATAATTTGACCTGTATTTAAACGGGACAATGCTGGCTGATCTTGTTGAAATAGGCTCTAACTAAGCAGGGTTAAAAGCAGGGAGATCAGGCTATCGCCACAACTCAGGTAAGAGATTATAAGAGGTTGGTGAGGACACTGGCAATGGGGGTGACGAGTGAACAAATTCAAACTGTATTTTTAAAGGAAAGGCTAACAGGATTTGCTGACAGCCTTGTTGGGTGTGATAAAAGTAAAGGAGTCAAGAATGCCAAGGTTGTGGGCCTTCACAACTGTTAGGTTGGAATTGCTTGAGATGGAATTATAGCTGTTAAGTTTTGGTCATGCTACATTTAAGATGTCTGAACTTCTTAAGCACTGAAGAGTCTCCTACGGTTACTTACATCCTGCACATGATGGTGGTGGTGTGCCATGGAGTCGGTTCCCACTCATAGCGATCTTGCATTGGGTTCAGAGGCTGTAAATCTTTACAGTAGCAGAAATCCTCTTATTTCTCCGGAGGAACAGCTTATAGTTTTGAACTGCTGATCCTGAGGTCAAGAGCCTGACTCATAACCACTACGTTACCTCTAGTTTTCCTTATTAGCAAAAATACCACAGGCCATGCTTTTCCATCTTTTGTTTTTTTAGTAACACCACATTTTATTGACAAAATGTAGACACTGAAGACTGTATATCAGGTCCTTTCACCACGGAAATGGTTCCAAAGCCCTTTTGGGGAGTTTATGCCTAAACTGAGTCAGAGGGGGCTAGAGAAATCAAGCCAGATGCTGTCAGTTCTGACTCATGGAGACCCCACGTAAGTTAGATTTGCTCCATAAGGTTTGGAATGGCAGATTTGGGCAAAGTATATTGCCAATCCTTTCTTTTGATTAATCTTTTACTGCTTAGAAGTGTCATTGTTATGAAGTGGATTCTTACTCATAGCGACCCTGTATAAAGTTTTCAAGTGGCTGATGAGTTAGAACCACTGACCTTGCAGTTCACTCCAATCTATGGGTTGAGTGCTTATCCTATGGTGCCACAACAGGCAAAATCACTGTACATTTTAATGTGACTGAAAGATAACCAGTGTCTAAATCTATGAGCACTAAAATCCAATCATCTTTGGCAAAATACACCTTTGGCAATGCAAAACACTTAGAAGTCAGAAAAAGTAACATCTACTATTTTTAAATGTTTAGTGTGGTAAAGCGTATGTTGCTTGTTCTTTGGTGGGTGGAGAGGAATGGTCATTTATTCTTTAAGAAGGGCTGGAGACTTTGGGAAAATAAAACTAACAAAATAACAAACTTATTTTAAATGAATTACTTGGCACAACTCTTCTAGTCATAGTCTTTATAACTTCCTGAAAATGATTGGGTGGGACCATGGAAATGGGGCGTATGCAACTCCAACATGGGGACTGATCAGCTTTGCCATCTTGCTGGGTACAAAAGGAGCCACCTCAGACACAAAAAGGGGGAAACTCACTCCCATCAAGAAAAGAGCACAATGATTCCTCTGGACTCTGAGGTCCCAGCACACGGTAACTCCCTTAATCTAGGAGACCTCAGAAGCGGTGATACCAGAGCAGTGTTGCTGTTGTTCTTGGTAAGCGCCATCGACTTGATTCCGACCCATAGTGACCCTGTATAGGGTTTCTGAGGAGTGATTGGTGAGCTTGAACGGCCAACCTTGTGGTTCAAAGCAACTTTGCAATTAACCACAGTGCCACACCAGGAATCCACAGCATAAAAACCAAGCCCAAGACAGGAGACAAGAATAGTGGGCTTCACAGCCCACAGTGTGAGAAAGCTGAGTGCTTTCAGGCAGGCGGCTCACTTGCAGAGTGGAGAGCTGACCCACAAGCTAGAGTTAAGGCTTATGGCGGAGTGGAGTGTCCTTTGAACATTTATAAGCAGTGCTAAAGGAGGTCTGTAACATTACTCAAGCAGGGCAGAGGCCAAGGGGCCATGTGACTGTACAGACCTGCTTGTGAGTATGGCTGAGAAGAGGTTGTCCTGACTAAAGAACTGGATCCTGATCATTTATAATCCTTAACTAGAACCTGTTAACATCCCTAATAAACCTCAGAATTGAGAGTATGACCTGTGACTTCTATGTGACACAGCAAAGGATTAAGGAAGACAGAGAAGTAGACAGTGCTTTGGGAGGGATGACTGGTGTTAGAATTGCTAAAGAAAGGGAGAGGGTAGAGGCATGTCTGACCTTGGCCTCATAGGAACCTGCCAAAGGCTGACGTTGAGTTTGATGCCATAGTGGTTACAAATCAGGCTGCTAACCACAAGGTCGGAAATTCGAAACTACCAGCTGCTGCGTGGGAGAAAGATGAGGTTTTCAGCTCCCGTAAAGATTTACAGCCTCAGAAACCCTGTGCAGGATCACTATGAGTTGTAACCCACCCCATGGTACTTAACAACAACAACCTTGTGCAGTCAGAGGTCAGACACTGCCCCTGCCATTTTACATTCATATAAAATGTGATATTTAGTAGGATTTATCTGACAACACATATGTGATAGTATTCAAAATTGAAGGGGAAAATGTAATTTTCCAAAACCAAAAATCTGTGCCTCTGAAAACTTCTGATGCAATGACATGCCGCCTAGTCCATTTCTCCACTGTTAACAGAGATAACTAACATTCATGTGATTATGCTACTGGTGTGTTGCTGCTGCAGGATAAGCACTGGATTGCTAAACACAAGGTTGGCAGTTCAAACCCACTATCCATGCCCTGGAAATCTTACAGGATTGATATGAGTTGGAACTGATTTGATAGCACTTAATAATAACAACTCAACAGCTTTAAATTCAATGGTTACCCATTGCCCAGAAAGAAAAAGCCCACTTTTTCTTAACCTCATCTACTAGGCCCTCCATGAGTCAGCCATCAGTTCTCTCCTCATCTTGATCTTCTATCACCTCTTTCTACACATTAAGCCGAGCTGTTTCCAAATTTTATTACAACACTTGTTCAAGACTCATCACAGAAAACGCATTTTGAGCAAATATATTTTGCAAACATCACTGTTGTTGCTGTTAAGTGCTGTCGAGTTGGTTCCAACTCATAGCAACCTCACATAGGGTTTCCAAGAAGTGGCTGATGGGTTTGAACTGCCGACCTTACATTTAGCAGTATAGTGTTTAGCCTATAGCACCACTCCTAAAGACTTAGAATGAATATAATGCTGTTGTTTTTAAGTGCCAT